CCAAGACAGAGGGACAGCAATGAGATCCCAAAAGCGACTTGAAGTTTTAGTAGCATGATCACCCAGAGTGAGGTTCAACATTCAATCAAGAATCATTTTGAGTACTGAATTGGAAGATCTGATACTTTTGAAACATTTCACAAACTCTACTGAAATAAGAAATACTTTTTATTTTTCTATAATGAACTATTGGTTTTGAAAAGAACTATACGGTCTGGGGGTGGGGGGCAAAGTACTCCGCTGGCTTAATACAACCAAATCAGATGTGTAGCTCTATAAGTTTGGCTTGTGGTATAACTACATACGTACATATATACTCAGACATATATGTATGTGTAAATGTTTACTTCTTGTGGAAAGGACGGTTTAAATCACTCTGTATTTCTTTTTTCCATGAGTCTAATACTGAATGATGATGGTAAGTTTGGAAAATGTTGAGCTAACGTTTTAAATGGCCAAACATCCAAGAAAGAAAATGATTAACACACACACACAAAAAAAATTTTCTTAAAGTTAAGGAAAATTAAGTAGGCATAATTGATTGTTTTGAGCTGGTAGGAGAACTTGGGCAACAAGCAGAGGTTTGTACAACCATGGAAAGCCCACAGCAAGGACCACACCGTGACCAGCCACCAGAGATTCAGGATGGTAGACTTACCGAGAGCGTCCACTGGCGGGGGGCACACGGTGAGAAAGTGCAGGATACACAATTGACACAAAAAGGAAAACAATAAAGTCAAACTGGTATTCGAGCAGCAGCAATCTTACCTTTCTTTCACCTGTTAAAACAGTCCACGGCTTGCCACCAAATTTTATATTAGGGTGATTAAACCCACATTCACCAACAGCTGCCCATCCAAGTTCCCCTTTCCTGATTTGCAAATATTCTCTCCTCCTCATCTAAACAGAAATCTTTCTAGTTAGCATCACCCCTAGAGAATACAGCCTGAGTTTTAAAAAGAGAGTTGAAGAATATATAACCAGAAGCAGCTAACTCAGATGCTTTAGCAAGAAAACCTTTTACGAGGGCCGGCCCGTGGCTCACTCGGGAGAGTGCGGTGCTGATAACACCAAGGCCACGGGTTCGGATCCTATATAGGGATGGCCGGTTCGCTCACTGGGTGAGCGTGGTGCTGACAACACCAAGTCAAGGGTTAAGATCCCCTTACCGGTCATCTTTAAAAAAAAAAAAAAAAGAAAACCTTTTACGTGTAATTTATCAGAACTTGAAAAATATCTAGGGAATCCTAGGAAACAAAGTTTAGGGTGGGGTGAAACAGAAAACAGAAATTCAAAAACTTGAGAAATTGTAGTATAACAGCAAATACTATGCTAGTATGGAACGCTGCAAGTCTATTCATTATGTTGATAACATTGGCTTTACAGCCTTTAGAAAAAAATGACAGGTTTAACTATTTTAATGTCAGCTCCAGGGTTAACACATAATGTTCCAGTTCTCACTCTCCAAGAAAGTCCCTGATAAAACATTTGGTAGTTACAGACTGAGACAGAAGGCTTCACGATAATTAATTTTTAATTTAAATTAATAATAAAATAGGACTTAGTTAAATGACAAATAAGGCAGTTAACTTTGTATAGTAAGGTGGCAAAAGTAGGTAAAAAACATGAACTATCTCCCACTTCTGATCCTCTCTTACTTCTCTGGTTGGGTCATGGTCAACTCCAGGACCCCAAAGGCAAGGAACCACATCACACAGCAGGAAGTGGGCTCACAAGATGCCATTCAGAGCTTAGGGTGACTGGGTCAGCCCCCCACGTGCCCAGCTTCCTGCTGTCTTTGTCCCCTCACCTTTTGACAAGACTGGCTCTGCCCAGTGCCCTTGACCCTGTGCGCTAGACCAGGACCTCTCTGGGCACGGGGACCGTCTCTCCAGCCCCCAACTCCCTGCCTCATGTTCACTCCTCGTAGCGTCCAACAAGCCTGAATTTAAGAAAAAATAGGCATGTTCACCAGCAAATAGGGCTACGGCAAATCCCAAGTTGCTTTAAAAGGGTTCTGAGATAAAACCTAGCAAAAGACAAACCATTTAAAGCATTTTTGATGGAAATATTTAAATACCGTTAGATTACTAACTACCTCTCTCTATAGTAAAAAAATATCACCTTTTATCATATTCTTTGCAGAGTAAGAAGGTAAATGATTTGCTCAAAAAAATCTCATCCTATATGATGTGTCTGGCCACATCAGGGATGGTGCTAAAACCATGCTTGCATGCACAAAGGCATTTGAAAATTTGAAGAGTCAGAAGAATGTTGAGATCAAAGATCACAGTTTTTGAAAAAGGCATGGCAGAAAGCTGCTTTATAATCTCCTGAAAACATATTAAAAAGGAAATGATTTGGCTGTATAAATCAGATTCAGTTCTACTGGGACAAAAAAAAAAAAGTATCCAAAGCTTTCATCCATCCTTGTACATGGGTATAAGTCTCAGAAGGAACATGCTAACACTTTTATAAGCCAAGATTTCTGGAACCTGCCACATGGAGGTTTTCTGGCAGAAAGAGAAACTTTAACCAGACTCAAAACAACCAAAAGCCGCAAGTAACCAGATTTATTCCAGCCCTTAAACTGAGGTGTTTCTAGTCCATTCTCAGGCCATATGCCTTCTAGGAGAGCACTCCATAACAATAGTACAGTCAGAATGATGACTCTGGAACCTTCTAAAAGGCTACATTCACCCCAGAAATACTCAAATATGAGCACCTGGTAAAAAAAAAAAATGCACTTACATATTCTAGAAATTTTTTTTTAAATCAAGGAAAGACATACAAATTGCTTTCTGGTTGTACCTTGAAGTAACTAGAAAATTATTTGGAACATTCCAAGCTACTGATCTGACTGATCTGTACACTAGAAAGGACACAGTGCCTGAGACTGCCGGATGTGTGGCTGTGCTGAAAAGACAGTTGCTTCAGAAATCCCTGATCACAGCCTCCATTCTCTTGGCCTTCAGGCCCAAGTGCCCCAAGCAACATCACAACTACATACCAATTATCCCCAAGTCCCAGGACCTGAAGCATCTCTTCCTGTTACACAGTCCAGCATCCTATGGATCCCGAATATTTCTATCCAGCCTTGATAGGAAACTCATTACCTTCTAGGCAGCCTGAGCCACTGCTCGGCAGGCCTAATTGCCAGAAACTTCCTTTTGTGTTGCACTGCAATCAACCTACCAGGCTTCACCCAGAAGTCCGAATTCTGCTAATTGGACAACACCAGTGACTTTGACTGACAGATGAGAGCCGTTTCAGCCTCCATGCAGAATTTAGATAAAAGGATTATCACTGCAGCCAAGAACTTAAGCCTTCTGAAAAGAGAACTTCTGGCAGAGCTGAAGGAAAACAGCTACTTTTTTCTTACCTCGCCCTTCTCACCAAACTCCCAAACCTTTTCCAAGCCTAACCATCTTCCCTGGACCCTCTCTCCAAACCCATTAATCGCTCCTATCTGGAGGCTGCCAAACTGTCAATAAGGTGGAGTTCAGCTCCGAATTTTTACCAGCCTGCTCTCCATAGAGCCTCGGATTTGATGAACTATGGTAGCAATTTTATTTACAAACATTTACCTCTCAACTTACTAAAATGTTACTGGCCACAAACCCTATTACTTGTCAAACACTAGCTCCCAGATGCCCTAATTAGACAGAATATAAATTTGAGAAGCACCGGACCAAACACATCTAGTAGAAACTGCTGGGGCCAATACTGACAGAAGATCTGACTGCAGGTGAAAATTCTGCTGCCTTTATCTCCAAATGGGCGTATGATTTTTGTGAGAATTGGGGGGACAGAACTTTTGAAATGTCAAGGCTTAAAAACTTAGTCCTGTCACCCCCCCCTGCCCCACCACCCTCCACCATTCCATCTCTCCAAATGCTTTTAATTCCAAATGAGAATTGCTTGTTTAGCAAAGAGCGAATATGGTCTGGAGCAACTCTACCTAGAAAGATGGCTGTTCCAAATTAACGTTCAACACTTCCCACAGAGCAGCTTGACAGAAGAACCCCATATCATCAGTTGTGATGCAGCCAATTCAAAAACTTGGTATTACAAAGAATAGTCTGGAAGGAATGTCACCTTCTCCAGCTCAAGAGAAAGCCCCTGCATTTTAGGTCTTAGTAAAATGTTACAAATGCTTGCCAAGTGGGGGCTGAGCCTGTGGCGCACTCGGGAGGGTGTGCCGCTGGGAGCGCAGCAGCGCTCCTGCCGCGGGTTCGGATCCTATATAGGGATGACCGGTGCGCTCACAGCACTCACTGGCTGAGTGCGGTGCGGCCGGTCTCAAAAAGGACAAAACAAACAAACAAACAAACAAAAAAACCCCAAATGCTTGCCAAGTGGATGTAGCTAGAGTTTTCTCTTCAAACTCCCAGTCTATTATGGAGAAGCAAAGATGGATTAATGACCTGACTATGCAAAGGCATGCGAGTGACGATAAAGGGAAAAGGGAGTGGGCATCGTGCAGCAGCCTGTTCTTCTCAGGGCTGAATTACCGAGTTCTGCCACCCCCCACATGGCAGAGACTGCTGGCTCCTACGGCAGCATTGCCAACATTCTCACAAGACTTAATAAAGGGTTTCGGAGATTATAGGCTGCGAAAGATGGAGGAGAAAATGACATAATTTCTTTAATAATTACTATAGAACATTTGCATAAAGCCTTTTTTTCATGATCCCAAGGCTTCCGAGAAATTTACCAGTTTCATTACAAAGCACAATAGGCATGGGAACCATCAAACTTCAAAGACAAAGGTGGGGAGGAAAGAACCCAAGCCCTACTTCGCCAGGGCCTGGGATTAGTACAGATCCTGCACGCTGAGAACCTCAGTTCAGATGCAAGCTATTTGCTCCTCTGTTCTCCAGGGCCGTTGCACATAAGGAAGTCTATCAATTGAACACCTTCTGTTTCAAAGACAAATCAAGAACACGTTCATTTTTTCCTCAACATAACAATATCAGTGGCAAAATTTTAAGAGTTACCTTTTTTTGCTTTCTTCTGCAGTTTCAGCGTATCAGAGGACTTCTTTTTTATCTCTTGGCGAGCTTTTTTATATTCTAAGAGAAAGCAGAATATTGAATAATTTTACCTCTTTGCTCAACAGAAAATATTTTACGAGCTGCCACTACCTTCGTCACAGCATGAACTATAACATGAAGTCGATTGCTTTATCAGAATACGATATGATACAAATCTCATTGGTGACATTTTACAACAAAGGGCAATTAACATGAAAAACAACAAAACACTACAGTCTTTCCCTATCATGTTCACTCATGCCAGCCGTGAGGAAGGACACATCATTTGGGAATATCTTAATAAAAATGAAAAAAATAATCACAATTCCTCAGCTCAAGTATCAGGAAAGTTTTTCAATATAATCTCCTTTCCTAAGGCCCAAATCCACAGTGCTTTGCTCAAAAAAGATGGAGAAGATGCTGGCCAGACATTACAATTCAGGAAAGGGGGCTTCAGACTACAGCAGGAGAAACTAGATCCCACAGGGAGAAAAATGGGGCAAGCCCGGCTGCCTTACTCTCACCATTAATCTGTGACAACAGGAACACTGAGGATGGGCAGCTCATATGCACGACACCCCCTCTCCACACCAACAGCAACCTCCACCCTTTGGCTCCACGACGATGGGGTCATGCCTGTACAGACCACTCCGTCCCCAGGGCCTAGCACAGTGCCCGGCACAGAGGATGCTGAGGCCCATTTGCTGAAGGCATAAACAAACTGTGGCCAGAACACTTTTCCTAAAGCACAACTCTGTTCCCATCACTTCCCTGTTCAAACACACTCATGCTGTCCCCCAGCCACAGCTAATTCCCAGACTCCTTCACACTGGCACACGAAGCCTTTGCAGGATGCACTGAGGTCTACTGTGCAGCTGGCTGCCCTTTTCTTGTCGGTCCCATCTTCTCTGACTCTGCATGATTTTCTCTCTGGCTGGACATCTCCCCACGGCCCCAAAGTCAGTGTGCTGAAACTATGCCCATCCATTAGGATCTCCTTGAATATCACCTTTTCTAATTCCTTGACCAAACTTGTGCTCTTCTACCTCCAGCTTCTGTGGCAGTCTGTGTCTCTCATGTCACATCTTGCATTCTGCCCTGTGGCACTCTCCTCCCTCCTGCTGTTGGCTCCCTGGGGGAAAAGCAGCATCCTGGCCACCTCTGAGCACCCTGAAGTGCCAGCTAGCAGAGACGCTGGTGGCTGCTACTCGGTCCCTGCTCACTGAGTTAATGCTGAATTGGAAAGATGAAGAAAGTGCTTTGTCACAAGGGTTGGGGGCTCTAGACCCGCACGACCTCCTGGCATCTGTCTAGAGGGAAGCCTCTCAGCATATGTGCAGGGCCTAACAATGGGTCTAAGGTCACATTCAGGCCCAGGCTGTGTCTTGAACGTGAAGTCCCTGGAAGTGAACCCCTAAGGAAAAAACCAGAAGTGTTTCTCTGTGTGCACTTGGGACGGGAAGGAGGCGGGAATATTCAGTTAAAATCAAGGGAGCTTTGTTGTTTTGGACAAGCAGAGGCCCAGCAGGGCTCTTTGTGAGACTTGGTGCCTTCTCCCCACAGGCTCAAGCACGACGGTGCTTACAAAAAGCTTTACACATCCAAGTCTGAAGTCCCTGCTATAAAATCAGCTTTGCTGCACTATCAGATGGGTACATTTACTAAAGAAGTAACACAAACGAAGTTAATTGGGCCCAATATCAACTATCAACTCTCCCCACCTGAAAAAAATTTTCAATTTTTTTTTTTACCTAATTGAAAAAAAAAGTATAGATGGCTAAATCTAGAGAACCTACGAGAAGAAAACCCATGACCTAATTAACACACAGTGGGACAGTACACCCTTTGAATCTGCCCCTCTCCCTAGCTCCAGGTAAAAAGAGAAAGGCTTTGTAGGATTATATCAAATACGTTTTTAGGAGCTACGTTCCAGATGGGAAATGTCACCAGAGGGAGATAGTAAAGAAGGAAATTCTTTTTAAAATAACTTTTAAAAGAAACACACAATAATTTAGAATGCCATTTTTCCCTGTTAAAGATGAATTATATCTTTTTTTAAATTTGGGGTAGAGAAATAAAAGATTTTACATTAAGCTTTTTATACAATTGCTAAAAATTTGGCGATTATACCCATACTTCTAAATCTCAACATAAACAAGTCATCACCGTTCCTTGTTCCTTTATCAAAATGGTTCACTGAAGTTCTGCATAAGACTGATTTCCAGTACCAATGAAGGCTCAACTAGAGGAGCCTACACCCGTGATTAACACATGTTAGAGGACATGCATCAAAAACCAAAATCAACTTATGTATTTATGTGGCCCCAGAGAGTTCACAGGCATGGAACACAGTAAGGACACAACAGCTGTAAGTACATGAATGAGGGAAGGGATGAATGATCTGAATGAATGAACACCTTCCCAGCGGCTACTGAGAGCTTCCGGAGACACGGCATAATCGTCACTATACAGCCTGAAGCAGGCAACACAGACCATCTCCCTGGTCATAACGAGGTCTGGGGTTCAGGAGCCACAGAAAGCAGTCCATCCACAATCCCAGAGCACTGGCTGAGTCTTCACCGTAGCCTTTATTTTTACTTTGCCTTGTAATAGGGCTATTTGTTCCTATTAGTAGATACCACGCTTGTCTTTCTGTAGCCCCCACCGCACCTAGCCCATAGAAAACATCAGAATGAACAGTGAGCAAGAATTTGCTGTGAAACAGCCTGCTCCTGTGTGAGGGGAACACAAAACGCTCACACTTGCAAGAGTATCAGTGCTATTTCCTCTGCAGATTACACCCCATTCCTTCTCATACCACCAAGGTCCTCGACAACTAACTAAACCAGTTCACAGACTTGTCTCACATCCCCAGGACAATACACAAGAGCATGGCCAGTTCTGGCAGGTGATCCAGGGTAAGCTCATATCATTAAAAGTCTGGTTTCAAAATGTGCTGAAATGCCTGAAGTATGAATATTTGACATTCAAACCTGCCATGACACTTCACTTTTAACTTAGCTGACCACAATGAAAGCCACCAAGACATCAGGCTATCAGCTGCCTAGTGATGTTTCATGCCAAACAAACAGTACATGGTCCTGCAACAGGATTGCTTTGGATTTCTTATCCCCAGACACTGAAATGCCTACAGAAAAAGCAGGGACAGAGCAGGAGGCCCCTAGCTGTTTTGGTGATACCATTAAACCCGGCAGCAGCCAGCAGCATCCCACATCTCTTCCCCCAGTGCTATGAGGTGGCAGACTGCTCGCCCTGGTACCTTTTGCATGGTCTTTATCCAGCTGGTTGGCTACTTTCTTCCATTCTTCCATCTGTTCTTGAAGTGGGTTGATCAGACAGTCAATTAAAGCACTTTTATCAAAAGGGAAATAAAAGGAGAAATAAAGCAGATACATTCTGTTGTCAAGATTTACATCTGGTTGTCAAAACATAGCTGAATCACAATTACCTAAAGGCAGCTTAATAGGCTGGCAATCACATCTAAACCCCTCAGCTTTGTAACAACCTTGTCTCAGATGCTTTTCAAAGACTGTTAGAAGCTATGAATGCGCCTTCCTCATTTCCTCTGTTACAGTCCTGTGCTCTTATGGACAAGCCAAGTTGTAGAACCCTGGGCTCACCCCTAACAGAAACTTTGAGGGTGGGGGCCCAGCACTGCTCTCTTTTAAAGAGCCTGCATGGTTCTGCTGGGTATTCAGGATTATAAATCATGAGTGTACACTAACTGTGCACAGCCTAGAGAAAGAAGCATGAAGAGTCTCCAGAAAATTCTGAAGCTGAGCTGCCAGCTTCCGGATCACTGAGGGGGAAGGTATCTCCAGGTGCACCCCTTCATTCTGTGTAGTCTCCCAAACGGAACTGTGTGAACCTGCTGAATTATGCTGATCTGCTTGGAAAACGTGTTCATTTTCATTTGAACATTGGTGAATCCAAATCCCCATGCTGGCCACAGCCATTTCTGCCCACTTGGAATGCCTGGAAGCCAGACAGGAAGCTGGCGGTGTGGAGAGCTCTGTGAGCCACTACTACCTTCTTGGTGGGTCCAGAGGATGCACATGGGCCTGGGGACAGGACAGCATAGCACACATCATTCTCCAATATTGTCCATATTAGAGCCCCTCTTCCTAAGAGGCTCCTGCAGGGTGGTGGGGGCCCAGGAGGCTTCAGCAGGATGCATCAGCTTCTGACACTGATGGCAGGTGAGGAGAGACCCATGCAGGAGCACAGAGAAGATCCAAAGGGGAACACAGGCTCCTTGAGGGCAGGAATCGGGCCCTCTGGTTCTCTGCTGTATCCCCAGTGCCTAGACCAGTGCATGGCACAGAGCAGATATCCAATAAATACTTACCCAATGAATGAACAGACTCAGGGAGAATGCGGGTTGTGGGAGTTTAAATGCTGCAGGGAAACCAGCACTGCTCAGGGTGAGTCAAGCCCCATATCACTACTTCCTGAACCTGAAATCAGCAAGGGCAGCCGAGATAGGGGTGAAACAAGCTCCTCACCTCGAAAACTGCCTCAGCTTGGCTTCTATGCTTCTGTGCCTCATGCACATCCTGGTGAGAGCAGATCCAATTTCTCTGGTGCCACCTGAAAAAGCAACAGAGGCAAAGTTGAGGGATAGGGGATAAATAAGAATCACTGAGATCTTTGCAGAGTTTTAAAAACAAGCCAGATTTCACCATGCTGCAAAACCCAAACTTCTCACCACGCACATGTGTGCACGTGTACACACACACATGTAAATATATATAGGTATGGCGACATATTTGTATATCAACAAAACTAAGGTTGCTCTTACTGTCTATAATATTCTCTTATGTTTTCTATTCTATGGGATACTTTATTTTTATAATGCTGGTTGTGATTCAGAAATCGACTTTACAACCCATTAATGGGTCATGACCTGTAATTTGAACAACACTTTTGATGGAAGACGATCAAAGTAGTATCTGATGTTCAGGAGGAAACTGTAATTGTCCCCCGCCCCATTTTTGTCAAAATAATCCTCTTAGCATTATTTAGAACGGCAAAGACTGCTGCTCCAGCTAATTATTTCAAGACATGTCCTAGACTACAAGTAATTCAGAGAATAGTAAGGCTAAAGCAAAACGAAATAATAGAACATTTTTTTAAAAAGTTTGGGTGACACCAGCGACAGAGGTCTTCAAGCTCAGCAAATGTTGAGAGAAGTTGCAGCACAGTTTGATTTTCCCGAAATTCTTGTCATACTTTTCCCTTCAGGCACACCCTCCTCTGAGATTATTTTTGAAGTTCTCTTCCTCCCCTCTCTTGGAAACAATGCTTGAATCAGCATTGACTGGGGTGTGGGGGAGCAAACTGTAACCACAGATGGCAATTCCGCAACCAACACTAGAAGGTACAATTATAAATGTTATGAAAACACTGGCGCTTGTGAAATTGGGGGGAAGTGTCAAACAAAGCACTATTTTTAACAGAGAGGGCCTTCAAGGGAAAGCCACAGGAATTTATGGCGGGTTTAACCATGTCATGTCAACAGAAAAAAATCCCCTCTCTTATTAGTACTCGTGACATTATTATGAGTTGTATTTTCCTCTCCCCTTTCTTCTAGAAATGCCAAATGTCTGTTTCAGTACCACCTATTTTCTATTTTAGTTTGCAAAACTAAAAGGTTTCTACAACGAAATAATAAATGTCATGTATTATATATTAATATTTCTATATTTTATTTTAGTCTGAAAAGAGAAGCCCTCTCGGGGTTATTTTTTCGCTCCTCTAAAACAGGGTTTCGGAACCTTAAAGCTATCGACGTTCTGGGCCAGACGATTCTGTGTTGTGGGGATGCCCTGAGCCTGGCAAGACGTTTAGCAGCATTCTTGGCCTCTGCCCACTGGAAGTCAGTAACAAGCTCCCTACTCCACCCCTCCAGATTTGTGACACCCCAAGATGTCTCCAGATAGTACTACCTGTTCCCTAGGGGGCAAAATCACCCCATTATGAACCACTGCTGTAAAAGAACCTGCATAAACTATAAATGTCACCTGAGGCTGACTTCTTAAATGACCAGATACTTTTTAGTAATGTTGCCCCTTACACCTCCTGGCACTTGTACCCAAGGACCATCTCAGCAGCACCATCTACCACCCTTCATACGTCTCCACCAGGGACAGCCAGCAGAGGGTGCTGTTTTCACATGCTCTACAGGCTTTCTGGGCTCTCCAGTTCCTTGTTTTTTATTGCTTATAAGCAAGGATGAGGAATGTTTTATCTCCAGGCAAATATGTATTTTTCCTGGGCCTTCACTTGATCAAAAGTTAATAACCTGGCCACACAAGGAAACTGGTACACTCATTCATTGCTGGTAGGAGTATTCCTAAAGGAAAATTTGGTAGTGTCTATCAAGAAAAGCCATAAACATATGCACACACTTTGACCCCAGCAATCCTAATCCTAGACATTTAACCTGAGGAAATAATTAAGGATGAGAGCAAACTTTTACCTATGAAAGTAGTCATCAAATTGTTGTTTACAACATTTAAAAAAATGAAAACAAAATCCCTTTATAGGGATCTAGTTAAATAAACCACAGAATGCAGTCAGACATGGAATAGCACGCAGTCATTTAAAATGCTCTAGAACAATATTTAAGGTCACGGAAAGATGAGCCACTTGTACAGTGCTTAGGATGTGCTAGGCATTGGCATAATAAGTATTCATGCAATCCTTGTGACACTCCCAGTTGCACTGGCACTATTATCACCCCCATTTTATAGAGGAAAAGTGCCTCCAGTACTTTGACCATAGTTACACTGCTGGTAAGTGGGATTGAAACCCAGGGTGAATCTCCAAAGTCTACACATTTATCCACACAGCTATATGGCACTTATTATACACAAAGGGAGATAGGAAGGTGCAGGGACAGAGAAAAACAAATACCACACTAAGCCGATAAACTATTATGGGTATTAGGGCTTTATAGCCGGCTCTCAAATTTTGATTCTTAAGCTGAGAATCAAATCAATTAGAACTGTCTAATTGATACCACAGAAACTGAGCTCCAACCTTGCTGAGCTGCTGCAGAGCTCAGTGACACAGAGCTGCTTCAGTAATAAACCCTACCTCAATTTCCTTTAGATAGAATTAGGATGGTGGAAAAGATTGCCTCAGAGGTCAGCTCCCTCGCCTCCATTTCTCTGCTCCACTATTTCTATTACCTTCCCAGATATTTTCCACGGCTCATCACTGGTCATTTATCATCCCCAGGAAAGCCCAAAGCTTCCCAGAAATGGCCGAACTATGGTACAACAGTGAGAAGTTTCTAAACATAATGCCTGTGCTCCACCACTGTGCCTCTGCAAACAGGAAGCCTTGTAGAGAAAAGGAAATAAAGAACCACAAAGAAAGCTTCCAAACAGCAGTGTCTCTGTCCAACTAGCACGAGGGCAGGAGGCAGATGACATCCTCTGAGGACCCCAGAACCCAGGCGGTAGAATTACTGCCGACCTCAGGAACATGGGGCACCCTAAAAATAGGTCAATAGTGGATGTGCATAACAACATCTTATGCTCTCCCCCAACCCTTGCTAGAACTTAAAAAAAAAAAAAAGAATAGAAAAGAAAAGAAAAAAATCAGCAGGTCTGAATAAGCTTTGGAGGAAACTGGCTTTAGCTAGGAAGATGGAGAAGGCATCTGTAAGAGCTCCAGTTTGACAGTGAGGATATTTATGGAATCAAATGGCTGGTTGAGGCACACTTAACAGCTTGTAAGTGAGGACAAGATCCTACTATTTCTGCATTTCTGGCACCCAGCACTGGTGATGAATGAGGGAAACACCACTTTCCATTTTGAGAGTAAATCACCACTCTGGCCATACCTGGAGGTGAGACCAGGAGCTGGGTTTGTCTTTCGTTCATAAATATGGTGTGCGCATAGAAGGTACACAAATAACAGATTCCAAATATAGGATACTTAATTTTAGAAAATGTCTATATTGATTCAAGATCAGCCTAGAAAAATGATGGTGTATTAGTTTTCTATTGCTGTTATAATAAATTACCACAAACTTAGTGGCTTAAAGCAACACAAATTTCTTATCTTACAGTTCTGGTCGTGAAAAATCCAAAATCAGTTTCACTGGGCTAAAATCGAGGCGTCAGCAGGGCCATGCTCCCTGGAAGCTCTAGAGGAGAATCTGTTTCCTTGCCTTTTCCAGCTTCTAGAGGCTGCCCACATTCCTTGGCTCACAGCCCCTTCTCTCCACCTTCAAAGCCAGATGTGTTGCATCTTCTCTGACCTCTGCCTCTCTCCTTATATCTTCTCTGACTCTGATTCTCTTGCCCCCTTCTTATAAGAACCCTGTGGTTAAACTGGACCCACCTGGATCACACAGGATAACCTCCGTGTCTCAAAGTCCTTAACTGAATCACAGCTGCACAGTCCCCTTTTGCCATGCACGGTAACATATTCACAGGTTCTGGGAATTAGGACATGGACATCTTCCGGGAGCCATTATTCTGCCTACCAAAGATGGGTAAGAGTTGTGGATTTGGAGAGTCGAGGGGCACTGTACTTGACTTTCCTGCATCCATTTATCCTAGATGGTTAGTCTGGGGCCATGATACTAATTCCAGCCCCTTTGGCAGTGGCTGGTTCAGGTATGAGACAGACACAGGAGAAGGCTGCTGGGGAGGCCTCCGGAAAAGCTTCCTGATCTTAAGAGAGAAACACACCAAACAGACCCACAGGATGTGAACAAGGCAGCACCAGCTGCTGCACCAGCCATCTTCGTGGCCACAGGGCACCTGCCTCGGGATGAGGCTGGTCCTATGGACAGAAGACAGAGCCAGAGTCCCAGGAACCTCTCTTAGCCGCCACCCTGAACCTACTCTCTCTCTGGGCCTGGGGCTCCTATTTTGCAAGAGCACACATTTCCTTATTTTTAAAGCCACTTTGGTTTGGTTCTGTTTCTTGCCAGTTGAAGGAGAGGGAAGGGAGCAACAGCCTCATGTGCCTCCTCCCAGAATGAGGAGTCACCTCGCTCCTAGAAGAAATGTCAGTCAGCCACTCGATGCTGCTGCTTAGAGACACGCAAATGCTTTATGGCCAAAAGCTTCATTCTTTTCAATGTGGTACATGTAAGAACTTTCTCCCATAACCAGCAAAGGTTTTAATCACAAAAGTAGCACAAAATCAGCCAATGTGGTAAACAGGACGATCTGCAAAGGAGATAACATGTGGAAGGCAAGAAGTAAAAAATATAGGGGCTGGCCTATGAGAGCATGAATGCTGGGCATGACATGATGCGTTGTGCACGACATGATACGCTGTGCACGTGAAGACACTTAGGAATTCCACTAGCATTTACTGAGTATTGCATTAGCTTCTTAGGGCTGCTGCAACAAGGACTGTAAACAGGTTGGCTTAAGACAACCAAAATTGCTTCTCTCACAGTTCTGGAAGCAGAAGTCTGAAACCAGGGTGTAAGCAGGGCTGTGGACACCTGTAGGGGAGAATCCTTCCTTGCCTCTTCCTCACTTCTGGTGGCTCTGGCAACCCTCAGCTTGCAGCTACATCAGTCCCATCTCTGCCTCTGTTGTCACATGGCCACC